CTGTCCAACCGGTTTCAAATCAAAAAATGATAAGTGTAATTCGGCATTTTTTTTTTTTATAAAACCTGCCTCAATTAAATTTAAACGTTTTGTATAATAACTTGTTTTAACATAGCAGTTTGTTTTTTTTGGGGTTTTTTTTTTTGTTTGTTTGTTTGTTTTTTCTTATGAGTGCAGGGAGTTGGATATGAATGTTTCTTGAACTCAGATCACTCAAGTGAACTTAAAGAGCTTACCAAGTGACCAATTTATTCGTTTGTGGTTTTATCTTTATTAAAAGTTTTATAGTAACCTTTCACTGAACTATGGAAATTATAGACTACAATGATGGTCTGAAACTTTAATTTCATAACTGTCTTGTTATTGGTAATTATGAGATTCGTAGTTTTTTTTTATTTTTATTAGTACAGAGTAAGTTTAATGTATTGTATTATGATGCGTCGCATGGAAAATATGTCTTTATAATGTTGATGCATTTGTTTGTAATAAAATCCAAAATGTTTCAAAAAGATTAATATCACTTGAGATATAAATATTTGAGTAACTATTTGAGTCTAGTTCAGTGGTTGCCAAACAGTGAAGAAGGCCTCAAAGATATGATGGTAGCAGAGGAGGCGGAATGATTGAAAAACAATCAAAGATTTAGAAACATTTTTTTTTAAATTCATATGCCAAAAATAAATATGGTATCAAAATTTTAAATATTATCTTATATTACTTGTAATTGCATGCATGAGTTCCAGCATAAATAATATAATTGACCCAGTGTAAATAATTCTAATTGACTGATCTTATCATTGTGATATTCTTGCATCATGTCAAGTATTAAAAATATAGTAGAAATTAGAAGAGAGAGTTATCAATGATAATGATCTGACTTTGAATCCAAGGTTATCTCCCTTTAACTCTCCCTCTGCGATTTTTTTTTTTTTTTTTGTACTTTTTATCACATAAAATTTGGTGAGGGTCGAATAGATTTTCCCTCCGAAAATCCGATCCAGAGAAAACAAGTTTGGGAATCACTGGTCTAGGGAAATGAAACTAAATATATGAAACCTCACCCGATCACCCGATACTGGTTGTCGTCCAGATTCTTTTGCCCTCTACAGACAGCCTTTCTCTTTAATTGATTGATTTATTTCTTTTTTTTTACGGCTTATCAACCTTTTGCAAGTTATTTAAAGCCAGAAAATATTTTTATATTGTAAGAATTGGAGGGGGGGACTTAATAATAATTTAGTGGTGTAAGACTTACTAATTAACCCATAGATGGGAGAGAAGAGGTGGATATTTACGCATAAGTGAATATATCGAACCCATCATGAATTATCCATTACGCCACCCGCACATCCAATCACCTGGTATTCCCAAGCGGCCTTCCTCTTTGAACTTTCTGTGCCATATCCAAATCTGCATTGCAGTTGGTGCAGTTTTAGCGAATTCTCTTGTTGTATACCCCGCCACTCCCAGTGAAGGTGGTCTTGAGCGACGGTGTCAATTCGATAATAAAGTTGCATTCTCCTCTCGCGGCCGGTGAACGCTAGTTGTTTTGAGTCCAGAGATAAAAGAACTTCAACACAGGGAATTTTAATTTAACTATTTTATTAACTTTCATGGCGACATGTTCTGCCTATACAGTGAGTGGTCGTTCACGCTCACTGGTGAGTCGTTTCAAACACGAAAAAGACCACGTCTATTTTGACGGTTAAGTCTCGATTCACCGAAAACACTTTCTCGATTCACCGAAAACACTTTCTCTGTCTATCGTTCTCACGCTGGCTCAGCCAATCAAAATCTACTTCCTTATTATGTCTTTCATCTGACCACAAAGGTCAACCTCAGGAAGTCCGAGCAGATTGCCCTATTGGACTGTGTTGAAGAAGACTTTAACAAACAGAACGTTTTTAAACATACTGTTAAAATTTGAGATCATTTGAACGAGAATTAGTCAAGTTATTAGATTACAATACGATAATCTTTCTGAGACACCATGCATATTAACATTTTTTTAGCAAAATTGCATTGGTTACGTTCGGATACAAAGCTATGCAGATAAGAAAACTTTCGTAAGATCTATGACGTGAGAATTTTCGTTTAAATCAAAATTTCGGCAAAGTTTGATCGACTGGTTCTCTGGTTGTTTAGAGCTATAGAGGGTTCAAGCGGTACCTCACTCTACCCAGGGGTTTTCAGGTTCGAATACTGCTGAAAAGAACATTTTTTTTAATAAGATTTCTATTATATTCAGGCCGGTAGACGAAAATAAATAAATATACTGTTTCATAAATAAACGGAACGTCTATTCAAATATAAGTATCATCTAAAAAATAACATTTAAATGATAAAAAATCTGTCGGATTAATAATCATCTATTACTTTCTTTAAAAAAATTGCAAAATACACAGACACATATATACACACACACACATATATATATATATATATATATATATATATATATGTGTGTGTGTGTGTGTGTGTGTGTGTGTGTGTGTGTGTGTTATAAAATAGGACGTTTAACAAAAAAATGAATAATAGAAAGCCAACAAAATGATACGAATATTGTCAAGAAAATTGATATTTATTATCTATTAACTTTTTGACTGAATTGAAGCACGAAGAGACAGATTTTCATGTCGGAACTTTCGAACTCGCCTGCGTTCTTTTTCAGCGATACGAGGAATAAACAAAGAAGTGGGACATACTCATCTGAAGAATTATATTGGTTAGAGGTCTCTCTATGGAAATTATACTCTCTGAGTAAACCCAAATTCCTGTTTAATCCCTCAATGCTTGAATATATTTTGAAAATAAATTTCAAATACGATATGCGTCTTTTTTCTCGGCTGTTGAATGAAGACGTTAAAAGCACGCAACTGATGTCATCGACGCTATGAAATAGTTGGTTGAAATGTACAGTGACCGAGAAATTGTTGGTGTTGTCCCTGCTGGTTTTTTCACATATTATAAGAAACACATGTGAACCACTTTTCGTTTTAATCTTAATATATATATATATATATATATATATATATATATATATATATTCCAAAATTCGCTTGAAGATGAAACAGAACTAATGCTTTTAATTTAATTATATAATTAAATTTGAAGTTTTAGCTTCGGTTTTTGAAACATGTTAATTCCTGTGTAGCGAAGGATCATATTTTTAAATCAGTTAATTTATAATATTTATGCTCTGTAAATTTATATTGAGCACTGTTTTGGAAAAATAAAAATATCAATAAAAACACCGGATTATATATCATACTGTTCTTTTTTTTATAATATATATATATATATATATATATATATATATATATATATATATATATATATATATATATATATATATATCAATTTATAAATATTGTTTATAAATATTGTATATGTATGATATGATCCCTGTTTATAAATTCCAGTTGCATAAGGTCTTTTTAATTTTTTACAAGCTTTCGTTTGTTCCTACAGACATCCTCAGGTATGTAAATAGATTTTTTGTTCTTTTTACTTCTCGGTAATAAGATATATATACAGGTTCGGGGTTGGTGTATCTTATTGATATTGTTTGCGAAGATGTATTCTCGCCATTTAAATCATTAACCTCTATATTTGTTTTTTGTATGAATGATTCACGAATTTATATATATATATATATATATATATATATATATATATATATATATATATATATGTAATTGTAGTTATTGCTGTTACCATGTTCTATTCTTAGTTAAAATAATAATAAAATTTCTTTATATTGTGACACAATAATAATAAAAATTATTATTATTGTGTCACTGACAAAAGGAAAATAGAGATTAGTCTTTTTCGGATAGGTATAACCTGAAGATCTTGCTGAAGGGTTTGCCTGCACGTAGTCGCGATGTCACCGCAAGACAGATGATCTATATTTTAAGGAATAAACGAAGAAACAAAAAAGCATTATTCAGTGTGTTTTTTGTTTTGTTTTTGGGGTTTTTTGTTTTGTTTTGGGGGTTTTTTGTTTTGTTTTTTTTTTTGTTATTTTACTTAGACACTTTTCAAAACATCTTTTTCTGTCTGAGACGTTTGGTTTCTCTCTTCTTTTTTGTTTCAATCTTCTTTTTTTTTTTCTTTCTTTCATTGTGCATTTAAATTCCATTTCAAGAAATACGATGCACGCTGGGACAAAAGATGAATTGTTTTGCGGTTGTTGGGAATGTTGGCGTGATGTTGAGTTAGATGTTTATCAATATTCCTATTTCAGTTTTTGAGTAGAAATTTTTTTTTAACTTTTTAATGGAAAGAGGAAAGTATTTCTATTGTTAGCAGTTTTATAATATTGACAAGATATACATACGTACATACATAAAATATATATATATATATATATATATATATATATATATATATATATATATATATAGTTGTATGTGTGTATGATTATATGTTTCTCTTTGGGCAAGATAAAGCCTAATTATAACACATTGGATATATAATCATGCATATGATAGATACATGAATAAAGATATTCTATACATTGTCAGTAACTCTTTATTGATACATGCTTAACGAAAGGTCAAAGACAAGGTAACTTTACTAATTGTTTTATTTCACTATTCCTGGCGACATCACGTTGAAACACCGGTTCCCGTACGATCACCGAAGTTAGGCAACGTCGAGCCTGGTCAGTATCTAAATGGGTGACCGCTTCGGGATACCAGGTGCTGTAAACTTTGATGTGGCAATGGTATAATGGATAATGGCTCGGAATTGTTAATCGGAGAATCGAGTTCCAATTCCAGTTGGGCTCGTTATATTCACTTTACCCTTTATGATATATATATATATATATATATATATATATATATATATATATATATATATATATATATATATATAGGACATCTAAAAAACCTGTTTAACAGGTGTAATATTGAGGATAGATCCTTTCCTCATACAGTCTCATTTGTGGTGGACTGGTCATGTCTTGAGAATGTCTGATGACAGGATACCCA